TGGAAAATTACCTTTTTACGGGAAAAATTTTGTTTCTCAAAAACTCCTGGTGGAATAGAGGGAAACGGTTATGATTTTAGAATTCACCGTCAAAAAACACATAAGAAACATCCGTCACAAGTTGAGGTTTATTTCCTATGAAAATTGAGTTTTCCCCGGAAAACCCTCTTTTTATCCAAGAAAATCGATTTTGCGGAAAATCCTGATGGAAGAGAGGAAAATGGATAGCGTTTTCGGACTCAGCGTAAAAAAGTACCTATGAAACACCTACCATATGTTGAGCTTCGTTTTCGGATGCAGACGTACGTAATTATTTGGGATTTGTCACCGTCATTTTACCCTCTTTTAGCGTTTTCTAGATGTTTCAGTTGTTTCGCCGCTCTAACGAGGGGTAAAAAATTTTTTTGAAGTGTCTAATACATGTTTTCCTACTCAATTTTTCCTGCTAAAGCCGAATATGACCTCAGATTTTTTCTAGAAATTACACATTTTTCGAAAAATGGATTTTTCTGGAAAAAAGTGTTTTTCAATGTAAAATCCCATATAAAAAAGATGGCTCTGTCGGCACGGGTTAATATTATCCGATTTGGCTGAAACTTGGCAGAGAGTGTTTTTTGATCAAGTGGAACAGTTCTAGAGGGTAAGACCAAAAAAATTCCAACATTGCCAAATTTGGGCCACCCTAAATTCACGGCGGTGGCGCAACAACCTCTGTGCAAAGTCTTTACATTTTGAACTTGTCTGAAACTCTGTAAAATTAGAGTTTTAAGTACGAGAATGCCAGCACACTTCACCATCAAAATTCTGACCAAATTTCTTTTCTGATGGGTCTTCATAATTTTGTGACCAAACGTGCTAATGGGTGGGGTACATTGTCAAGCTCATTACGTAATGGTATGCGTTTTATATTGGATTTCAATTTTTTTTTTCTTAGTGTATTTTTCATTTTTCAGTTTTACATGCAAATATTTTTTCTCATTCTATCTTGTTTCTTGAAATACAGAGCATTCTAATTAACAGAAACTATGTTCTCACCCATTTCCAGTAAGAAAATTAGAATATCACTTTAAAAATAAATCGTCGGGAAAAAAGTACATTTTAGGACGATGGAGACCTTACTTCAAAATAATCCAAAGAAAATTTGAATGCACCCCTCTCTTCTCGGTAAATACCTGTTTCCATCTTCCTGAGAGGATGATGTTTAGATTATTTACTTTATCCTCATTTTTATAACTCTTCAGAGCCAATTTTTCTCTCTCATGCACCTTTTATTAATTTTTTTAAATTGGTACTTGAGAAATTTTTTCCTATATAGTTTTCATTTTTCCACTTGCATTTTTCTCAACATTTTATTTCAACTATTCCTCCCTTAAAATGCATGTATCTTATAATTTACTGCTTCAAACACTTCTTTTTCCAATCATATTGGAAGTTTTTCCTTTTTTTGTGAAAAAGGGAGGAGGGAGAGGGTGTAAAGGCAAATGTCACGTAATTAGTTTGGGGGTGCCTGAACCAGCGTAAAGATTCCGTTTATAGGGGTAGGTGAGTGTCAAAAATTCAGGAAAATTGTGTTGCTTAATTTATGGACAGCTCCTTATTCTGCCGTGATAATGGCGAACGCAGTATGAGCCATCAGGTGTTGCCAAATTTGTTTCGACAAATTTCGAATTTTCAGGAAAATTTATGGATATTTCTCCTCCAATTTATCGGAGAATTTCGTTCGTCATTTGATCTAAACAGTCTGAAAATTTCAAGGAAGAATAGTCATAACTTTTTTCACAAATAAATATTTTATGACAGGAAATTTGACAACATCCGAATGCTTTGGCGGCGTTTTTCCTTGGTAAGGCAGTATTGCTCTGCGAGTCTTACGTTCGTCGTATAGGTTACCCTAGTCCCATGTGCTCTTATTTGAAATTGCTGCTAAGACGAGATCAACTCAAGGGTGGCAATCATACTCATGTAGTGTCTGGTGCTTATTGTGCCTTAAATTTTCATAACATGTCATGTTGAAGCCACCGACTGCGATCCATCCACTTCTTGGTGCTGAATGGGTGGTGGTACATGGAGTACCCACCGACTTACTTTTTTATCCCCCATTCCCAGCATCCATCGGTCCTTGGCATCTTCGCCGTCACCGTTCAAATGTAAGCTGGAGTCTGGACTGTTTAGTCTGCTCTGTATCATATGTCACCCCTCCCTCCCCCGTACCCAGTTCACTACTGTGGGCTCGACCGTGAGACAGTAGCGCTGCTGTCCAATAATTCACGTTACTCACAACTCTTAGCCAACACGTTGCCATTTTGATAATTATTGTAAAGATGATATATTATTGATGATTTATTATTTCTCGGAGATGTACGCACTGAACAGGGGTAGAAATAAAGCAAAATGAGATACATATTTTTACGTCAAAATTTCACGAAGAAAATCGCGGATACCTTTACTTCAGAATAAAATTCAACATGAGAAATTAATGTCATCCGTGAGATTTTGTTTTCTGTTTATTAAGTTGTTTATGATTGAAAGCAAATTTTACACCGGCATCAGTTCTTTTTAAGGGGCTTCTTGTAATGAATTTGAACCCATATGTGGACCACTTTCAGATCGAGGAAACCATGCTGAAACGCCTCGATTTCGGTTCTTCTTCTGACGATA